AATTGTTGCACAGGCTACATAGCCTGTGCAACAATTGCAAAGGCACACACACACTGCATACTTAAACACAGAGTTCCTGACAGGCCTTATTGTTTGTCCTTGACATTTTCATGTATTTGATGAAAGGCTTATATGAAAGGGCCATATGTTGACATCACAAATCTTCAAATATAGAGCGCCTTTCTTTGTTCCCCTCTCTCGTGCCTGACTCGAGGGACTTCTGTGCTCAGGGCTGGTCTGGTTGTTAATTAAGCACATGCCAGCCTGTTTGAAATGTGTGTGCACGTAAATATAAACAGAAATTGTCAGCCGCAAAAGCTGCAAAGAGGCTTTTCACATCCGACCTGTGTTTGTACTGTAAAGATGTAAGAGCGACACTAAAACAAAGCATTTTAATCCTGTGTAAATGTTGGTAGATGTTGCATGCATGTTGCAGAGCTGCAAAAGACTTCATCTATGCTTTCGCCACGACTTCACAAACTGAAACCCTGGTTGCCGCTCAGGAAGCAAATATATTGCCATATTTGTGTGTATTAATTGAGATAATGGTTTGTGCTGGACTGACTCAGTTGTCGACTTCTTCAACCTGGCAAATGTATTTCATTATTCAGTATAATAGAGGCAGTTGATTCAGTCCAACTTTCCATCCACATGCATTTTTATCCTAATAACTACAGGATGCTAAAAGTTGGAAGGGAAAGAGCTCATTTTCACAATTTCCTTTTTTTTTCCCTCACAGTGCACGTAAAGGCAGGAACATGCGAGGTAATTGCTGCCCACCGCTGCTGCAACAAGAACAAGATTGAGGAGAGATCTCAGACTGTCAAATGCTCCTGTTTCCCTGGCCAGGTTGCCGGCACCACTCGGGCGATGCCCTCCTGTGTTGATGGTAAGTTGTGCTGAACGGGTGAGGTTCGTGCATACTCTAATGAATCTGCGAATTCTGTGTGCCTGACGAACACATGATTTGAGGAGTGCTGAAGAAAAATACTATTTATGGTTTTTACAGGGTTTTTTTTCCCACTTCCTGGGTGTGACGTTGGAGCAGAGCTGCCGTTTTGTTATTTCACTGCGCTGCACAGAGGCTGTGCTCGCAGTGTGACTCTGGGAGAAATACTGAACTAATGTATACAGTGCTGCCTGACATTTACCCTGCATTAGCAGCAGTCTATTTATGCATCCCATGTGTGCGTTGGCAGTAAAGCTACAGAGGAGTTAGTGCCACTTTAGTGTTCGGTATTGCTTTCTGGAACTTCAGCCGCCTAATTTATGTAACTGTGTTTTTGTTTTTCTTGTGACACAGCTCCCAGTCTTTATTAAACTTTTTTATTGTTCTTATTTGGCACAAGTAAAAGTTGAATTGAGTTAGGAAAATAGTTGTACATTATTGCAAAGTGATAGAAGTGACAGAAGATATGGACTATTGTGACGTTTCTTTGTGTAGCCTGTAGTAAATGGTTTTAGATGTTCCACATTTAACTTTTCAACATAAATATAAAATAAAAAAAGAAGTCTTCTCTTTCATTAATATCCAGGAATGTTGGTCCTATTTCCCAACTCCAGAACTACAAACAAAACAAAACAAGAGGATACAAAGACTTTAGAATTTAGGGTGCAGGAATTCACCAAAGTTTTCATACCAGAGCCATGCAGAAAAAAACAAACAAAAAAAGAAACACAGACGGTATCAGAAAAAAGATACGGATAGTAACACGGACTCTTACACTGAAACAGTCAGGCATGGTTTCCTGGACCGCGATGCTAACTGGTTCTACTGGACCCATCGTCAGTCTGTCGACCTTATTAACCCTGTTTGGTTTGTGAGATCCAGCAGGAAACATTGTTGGGACTTGAAAATAAAATGTGTTTATTCCAGCCTCGGTTCTTTTCATACCATCCCTCGAGTTTTTTGTTTCTTTTGCTGTCAAATACGTGTTCTCTGCATATGAATTTTCTGCAGTCATACAAAATACAATTAAACTCCTCTGAGGAAATGTGAATTGATCTACTTTAATGAATAATTTGAGAGTATGAGCTTTTCTCAGCAATACTCGATACTGCACACTAAAATCTGACGTGATGCCTGCGAGTCATGTCCACAGAGTACAGATGTTTGTTTGTTTATCTTTTTCTACATTTAATTAAGCTACTACTTACAACAAAGGTGCAAAACCTGAAAAACACAATGTGGAATGTTGTGAAGGTCGACTATGCAGCCCTAATCCGGCCAGGAAAAATGTTACGCCGGTGTTCAGTCTGATTGCAGTGTGGCCCTCACCAGGCGGCCAGAGAGGGATAATCTGTCTTTGATAAGAAACCTGTTGTAGAAGTTTTTGGTTCTTCTCTTCTCCCAAGGCTCTCTTTGGTCTTGTGGCTCCTGCGGCTCCTCGCTGGAGTTGCTGAGATGAGTCTCTGAGGGCAGGCTGGCAAATATTACTGCTACATCTAAATGTCAGACCGCCTTGCATAATTGATAAATCACAAATTGCTCTTTACCAACACAAAAATAGCTTTACAATGACAGATCTAACATAAGAAGCAGTAATAAGTGCCAATAGCAGATTTAAAAAAAACAAAACAGAATGTATCATAGTGCCTGAAATTTGAAATAATGAAAAATAGATTTAAGTTAATCAGAGAGAGAGAGACTTAGGTGATTTCTGATCTGACTGATGTTGTTCTGTTGAGGTCAATGTTTTAGAGACTGGTTGTATAATGTTTGAATGCTTAATGTAAATTTTAACGTGTTTCAGTTCTAAATAGTTTTATCTGTAATCTGATGTTTAATATAAACCACGAGAAATGGTATTCCTATTAATCATACCTACAATGAGTAATGGACATAATATCCTCCCCAAAGGACCAGGACCAGACTGATCTTAACAATCTGCCATTTAAGTGTTTAAATAAATCAAAAATCGGAGATATAAACTTTATAAATTATTTTCTATAGTGAAAATTGGTATTTTTCCTATTGTAGCAGAATGATGTCAAAATGTAGACTGAAATAAAGCCCTTTTTTTTTTTTTTTGCCACTGGCAGGTTAGTCCTGCAAAGTCAGCATTTTGTCACAAATGACGAGGCAGAACTTCTGTTATGTCAGGAGAGCACTCGTTTGTTGAAGGAGCATTTTTAAGGAAATGTTTCAGCCAAGCCAAAAAAAAATAAATAAAAGGGACAAGCTTGTCACTGTTGAGGCAGCAGAAGAATAAAATAAAATTTCTGACAAAGAAATTTCTTCATAGCTTAATAACATTAACTGGCAACAAGATATTGCTACATTGCTACCACATTAAAAGAAGAAAACCTTTATGATGCAGGAGACCCGCATCCTGTAGACATGTCTGGATTCTTTTTCTAAACCTTTTTGACACCAACTTGTGACGACTTTCAAATGTTCAAAGCTCCACGTCGAGAGAAATCAGTTGAGGTGGCATCTGCTTAGGATGAATCCTGGAATGTCCCACAAAGAGGAGACGCTCCTGGATCTTCCAGGATATGCTGGAGGGAATACGTTTCTCGGCCGGCCTGGAAATGACTTGGGATTCCCCCCAAAGGAGCTGCGGTGAAGAAAATCACTCTGCTTAGGCTGCTGCCTCCGCGAACCGACCCCCGCGGAAGATAATGGACGGATGGAAATTCCAAAATTGTGGCATATAGTGCTGTTCATAAAACACCCATCTATCTGTCCATCCAAAACACATCTAGTAATTTTTCTTTTTTAAAGATAGCTAAAAACAAAGAGTGAACTGCAGCTTAGTAAGATTTTTTTTTCTCCAACATGTTTGAATGCTGATGTGCTCTCAGAGAAGCACTTTCTTCACATCACCACTAATCCATTAGCTATGCCTACTTTACTCCACTGAGGGTTGGAGGGGCCAGTCTCTGCTTCCAGACAGTAAACAACAAAGTGGATGCACCTTGGAAAACTTTCCAGTTGCACAAAACACCTAGGAAACACACTTACTTCTTTAAAAACCACCAATAGATCTAATAATAGTAGTTAGGATTCCTAAAAGTGAATGAGTGAAGAATGTCCAAAAACATTTTTCAAATGTGTAATTTCTGTGATTAACAGGTAGCCACTTTGTAATTCCTGCATGTTTGTTTTTACACTTAGAAGTTATTTACTGTATTTTCACAACACAATTGACCTCAATAAAGAAAACTGAAGGCACTTCCAGCTTCACCAGATACTTTCCATGATTTTGGTTGAGCTTTCATTGAGATAAAAGTGTTGTAGATAATGTTGTGATTCTCAAGGTTTTCACTTTGGTCTCGACAAGAAGATCAAAAGTGCAACTTTTGATCTTCTTGTCCCTGGATTTTTTTTTTTCCTTAAGACAAGTCAAGAATAAAACTGCAATATATGTATAGATTTTTTTTTAACTATAACTAGAATAAAAAACTGCATAGAATGCAATCAATTAAGTTTTTTACTCTGAAAATGTCAACGCTGCCACTTGTGTCCCGACATGCTGGGGGAAAGGGAATAAATTTTACCAAACGATAAAAGACGCATCGGATTTGTCTTTCTTGATGGAAGTGATAGAAAATGCCTTTAATTAGTATAAGAAACAATCACAAAGGCTACATTTTTCATATGCAGTGCTTCACATTTGAGCTGGTTCATTTGTGTCACTTTCGACTGCAAAATCTTACTCTAATCAATAAAGAATTAGCCACCAAGTGTTTATCTTATCAACCCAAACTCTTTAATATGCCCAAAATTCAACTTGCTGTGTTGGATTGCAAGTTTTTTATTTTTTATTTTTTTTTAGAAACACTTTTACTTTTGTGAAGATTGTAAGGAAGCAGGGCTCAGGAGAGTGTTGTGTCAAAATTCACAAATGCACCGTCAAAAGAAAAAAAAAGAAAAAAAAAAACAGAAAGAAAAAAGTAAAAATGTGCATGAAAGCCACATGACCGAGAAACAAAACCTCTGAGACTTTCCACACCTCTCCCTTCTTTCAGCCTCCATTGTAGCCCAAAAGTGGTGGTGTCAGATGCAGCCGTGTATGGAAGGTGAGGAGTGCAAGGTTCTACCGGACCTCACGGGATGGAGCTGCAGCACGGGCAACAAAGTCAAGACCACAAAGGTGGGTGTTCTTCCTCAAATAAACACCTGCTTTTTTTTTCTGTATTCTCACTCTTTTACACATCTATTTCGAGCATGTTCCTGTTCTCCCACGCCTTCACCGCTTCCTCCTCTTTTATTCCAAAATCTCTCTTTTCATTTTTTTTCTACTTTTTCCATTTTGCTCCAGCATTAGATATTTTTAATAAAAAAAGTAATAAGCTCATCAAGAATAGGGCATCGAACACACTTGCTAAACATGAAAATCGCAGATCCCCTCGTTCTCACTTGCCCTCTAATCCCCCCCCGCCGCCGCCGCCGCGCTGGCACGCCATCTGACTCGACGCAAAAAGAACTTGTCATGTTGGATACACAACAGCACAGAATGTCCCGGAATGGTGTTTCCATGATACGTTTTGTGTGTGCAAGCCCTTTCTAGGTCTAATTTCTGTCTGTTTTTGCGTGTCTGCGTGAACACATGTTAACCAGCGTCCGTCTGCACCTCTTTGCCCCGTTTCAGCGGCTTGACCACATCCACCTCCTGCAGCCGTCTTCTGTCGTAGGAAGAAAATGTGTGTGAGGCTCGCCTCCTATAACTTCATGCTTCTGTTTCTAACCTCCATCCTTCTCGGTGCCTTTGTCGGCCTCCATTATTAATGGCCGTGTGCAGACCTTTGTTTTCTGCCTAAATAATTGATCGAAGGCGTGGTCAGAGAAGAGCAGCCAGGGATGCGTCTCTTTGGGCAAAACTGAGTGATTGGAAGAGCTTGAGATGCGTAATCTGCTCGCTCTTTCCAGTCCCGACTTTCGCCAAAACACTCGGGAGATTTGGGCACCACATGATGGGACGTCATACTTTTATTTCCTATGTCAACTTTTCATCCAGCAAAGGAAATAATGTCACTCAAAAGAAGTTTCTCAGCATCAGCAGCCTTCCTTTTGTTTATGATCACGCGATTTCTCGGATTTCAACTTGACGTTCCAGTGAGCGCAAGATGAACAAACTTGACAGGTTAAATAGTATCACAGAGCTAGAGGGAATGTGTGCACTCTTGTAAAATGTTTTCATACCCTTTTTTTATATTTTTGATATATCACAGCTACTAACTTCAATATATTTTGCTGTTATTTTAATGTAGACAAAAACCAATACTAACACAAAACTGTGTAGTGCAAAGAAAATGAAACATAGGCTTCAAATCTTTTCACAAACCTAAATCTTATAAGTGTTTATTTTCCATTTCTTTTATCTTTTTTATAGATAAAATAAATAATATCCAGTGCAACCAATTGCCTTCAGAAATAGTTATTGAAAGTGCCATTTGCAGTTTGCTACAAGGTCAAACTAAACCATTAGGCAGAACAAGCATCCTAAGTTTCAGTGGAATGGTTTTGATCAAATTACATTTCATTAGAAGTGCCCAGCCAAATTCCAGACCTAAATGTAGAGAATTTGTGGTAAGACTTGAAACTTAATGTTCATAGACATTCTTTATAAAGTCTGACTGAGCTTAGGGATTTTTTTTTAGCAAAGAAGAATGCACGTCACACAATTCAGATTTTTTTATTATCATTTTCCCCCCCATTTCTAATTTATGCTAAACTATGAGATCAAAACCAAATCAAGTACATCGTAGTGGTAAAAATATCTTAGAATTATTTTTTTTTTTTTTACAGATATCAAAAAGAGACAAATATCTATTGACCAGATATAAAACAGATGTAATTCCTGGATTTATGAAGGGCATTTTTCAGTTGCTTAATTTTCTCTAAATTCAGTTCTGTCCGCCCCAAGGTGTGCAAGATCAAAAGCAAACCAGGCATTGCTTTATTGTTGATGCTGTCATTGCCTGAAAGAGCACAAATATTTGCAGTCTCCTGAATTCAGCTCTTTGATCAATGATCTGTGATGTATTTTTTGTATTTCTGTCTCCTTTATTTGAGAGTGTTAGCTGTTGTGTTTGTCCGATGATAAAAACAGTGATTTTATTATTATTATTATTTTTTTTTACTTTCTCCTTTGCTTTGCTTTTGTATGGTGTGGTCAAGATGTGCTGGCATCCAGATCAATAGCATCGAACGATCTCTTATAGTCCTATTAAGACCTGCTCGTAAATTGAAATTGACGATGGTACACAAATGAAAGACAGAGGAGAATGCAAAAGGGGAATAAAGAAAAAAAGAAAAAAAAAAGGAACCTGAAGACAAATGAGAGTAAAATAACAAGTGAAGAAAAGATAAGTAGCAATGGCAGGCTTACAGCATTATTCAAAACCCTGCAGAAATGGGGGAATAACTCTCTGTGTTTGTCCCTGCGTCCCTGGCCGGGGGCAAAGAAAAGGTGGAGAGGAGGAGGGTAGGAGGAGGAGACAGGAGACAGCTCGATCGATGCCAAATAATATCATATGGATGAACGAGCAGACATGGCCACATTACCAAACCACAAAGGTGTCTCAGATTGCAAGGCAAGGGTGTGCAAAACAACACAGACAAACAAACAAATCAAAAAATGTCGCAGAACGTAATCCCCTCCCCCCGCTCTTTTTGGCAAAATAATAAAACCATTATTTCTCTTCAGCCAGAACGGGAATATAAGACCTGGCAAATAATTAACTGTTGTGAAAATGTAATCCAAAGCATGAAATCACACATTTTTGAAAAGAAATAGGTGGCAAAAAAGTAAATGGCTAAAATAATTCATGATATCTCAGAGACATCTAACCTGAGAATATGTCCATAGCAATAAGGAACAACTCTGTCACCAGGTGAATTGATTAAGACTATATTTGACAGTAAGTGAACATTTTGTCCTCAATGTTAAAGTGTTAGAACCAGGAAAAATGGACCATCGTGACAATTTTAGGGAGTTTAACAGAAATTAAATTAGGATGGCTAAAGGACTGATTCTCCAACACTGCAACTCTTGTGTGATGATTCGGGTCTGTAGTGGTCAGTATCTTTGAAAAGAAAATGCATCAGTGGTAAACCGACCGGCATGTGGACAGTGGAGGTTGGTTTACAATTTGGTGCCTGGACACCAATGGATGGGACAGCCAGGTCAGTTGTCTTAGACC